GTTTGTTAGAAGGTGTCTACAGAATGTATGGAACTCAATGTATTTTGGCATAGATGTAGAACATAGTCTGAAAGAAAACATAGACCTAATTATTTTTTTAATTCCTGTCTGACGGAATCGCGGGTGATAGCTAATCTGTAAAATATTTACTTATGATTTTGAAACGTTTTATTACAGTTATAATACTGATAAGAAATTCTTGTATTTACTAACATTCCTAAGACTACATAAATTATATCCAAACAATAACAAACAATTCTTACTTTCATAACTGTAGTAGAAAATATCCGAACGGTTATGTTTATTTTTCTTTTTTAAAGGCAATTTATGACTTGATAGCTGGCAGGTTATTCTCAGATAAAATGTAAAAAGGTTTTATTCATATAAGATTAAAATGTTAATTTTTAGATGCGAATATTCCGATTATCTACACTTAATTATCTGTGACACTTAAATAATATTATGTTGCTTGTGTTTTACAGAATTTAATTGAGTTGTCTTTATGTTAAAGTAAATTTGTGACGCTTAAATTTTAATCGATTTAAAATTTTGCAATTATTGTTAGAAAAAAATGGTAATAAAAAATTAATTCCAAAATAGATTTAATTCTAAAATACAATGACTTCATCATCATCAGCTCACTATACGTCCCCAACGAGGGGCTCGGAGCCTACACTAAGTTAAGGATTAGGCCATAGTCAACCACGCTGGACGAGTGCGGGTTGCTTGACTTCATACATATCTTTGAATTACTTCTCAGATATATGCAGGTTGCATCACGTTTCCTTCACCGTAAGAACGTCGGATAAATGTACATATGTAAATCGGTTAAAAAACACATTGATACATGGCGGGATTCGAACCCAGGACCTGCAGATTGCAGGTCAAGTGCTTGACCCCTGAGCCACCGACTCTCTTGCAATGACAGTTCCTTGTAAATTTTTATCCAGAGTTCCGCTCACTTTACTAGTTTTGAAACAACTATTTAGCAAATTTATACCTTGTTCTAATGACACAAAGACTAATTTGTGTTTCACAATACTAGTATGCAGTCCAATGTTACATTTCCATACACGCGAAGTTGTTAATTATTTCTTTGGAAATGAATGGCACAGGTGTCGATGGCCGGCGGTACGTTATGCCGCCATTATGAAAAAAAAACAAAGAAAAAGGAATGTTTTAGAAGTATCTAACACCGGTAGTATTGTCAGTTATTAGTTTAGTATTTATTCTGCTTATTTTCATTTAAATTAAGAGGAAACAGCTTATATTTATTGTTTATGTATAGACGAACAATGATATCTGAATCTGTGGGCATAAGTCAGATCAAATTTTGACAGCTCACTAACGCCCCTCTGTTAATGACAAAAGTATCGTAAGATCCTTTTTTTGCCATTTTATGTAGCCATGTTTTACTATTTAATAAAAGAAATATTTATAATAGATAATTATGTTATCGTCGTTTTAAGTTCCAAATGAAAAATATGGTACTAAAGAATTAATTAATTTTAAATAATTAGTAAAAAACAACTTTAAAATTAGTTTATTTATTAAAAAGGTACACCAATTGTATGTTCAACAAGCACGTGCATACAAACATACAGACAAAACAAACAGAGGAACATACAGATGACAGGCTGGACACTGGACAATTTTGAATAAAATAGGAAAAAAAAATAACTGAAAAGCCAAAAACTTGAAAGTGCATTTAACGGTATCATTGGTTGTAAATTAAACCGAGATCGAATTTACGAGTATAATGTGTTGATTATTTCTTTTAATTGTTTTCAACCAGGTGTAAATCGCTAGTAAAAATTGATAACGCTATTAATGAAGAGTAATCAGCAAACCATCGTCAGATGTATGACCTAGACATTTTATATACGGCGTTTTGAAAAAAACCTAATTAAATTAATTATTGGAATTATCAAACTGATGCGTCGCTAAGTTAAAAAAGCGATAACTGGCCAGTGTTGAATTAAAAAATTGGATTTACAATCTACCATAGATTATGGACGTTCTTTTTTTAAACGTTGATGTTATAATTACGCTTTGCACCTTTTTGTTGTAGAAAATAATGTTTTATGACATTCTAAAATTAAAAAAAGTAGTTTTTATTCGATTGATAAAAGCGTAATGTTTTCGACGCGCGGTTTGGCTTGGTATGACACATTTTTGTTACTCTATTTCCATTAAGAAAATAGTTAAGTTATAATTATTTTTAGATTTAATCAATAGCTTATAATGTCCACGACCTATTTCGTCTTAAAAGTCTATTTGAGAATTTTGCTTTACTGTCAGGAATTTTGTAATGCTCATAAAGTTAATTAATTTAAATTTGTTCGTATACTTTCATGACCGGCCTTTTCGAGTATCTTTATTAATTCCTAGACTTAATACCGTATATGTACGATTTTATATTCTACAACCGTATTAACACGTCAAATGAGCGATTCAAGATCATCATTTACAGATAAAAAATATTTCAACTGTCACTTTGAAATGTCAAAATTTTCGCGCCGTTTCGCTTGCGGTCAAATTCCTAGACGTTATTTACACAAAAATATGTGATATTTTAACAGTGTAAATGACACCGTTTGTGTAATTTTTTTATTAAATTATATTTATATCGGGTTTTAATACAAGGGTTTTAATACAAGGCAGGACCTAACAAGCGCACGCATTCCTAAGTCAAGTAATGCTCGTGTGCTCGATTTGTGTGAACACGTCTTTACATAGATGTATGTGTTAGCAAGATATGCATATGAGTGATTGACAATTTTGCCTTGTCCATTTATCCATACTCAAAGCTTTTGGATACTATCTTCCTAATATATCTTAATATTATTAATGCGAATGTTTTGGTTGGAAGGATGTTTGTCTGAAGGTGATCTCCAGAACGGCTATATACCTCGCTGTAATTTGGCACTGATAGAACATTGTCTGGAAGAACACGTAGGTTACTAAGTTTTTTAATTCCGCGCAAACGGAGCCGCGGGCAACCGCTAGTTAATAAATATCTTATTAATAATTTATCACAATAATAATACTTTTAGTATGGAATATAGAGTATATAAATAAGAAACCTCTAACACCTCGGGAAATTGCGAAATCGTGATACTAAAATAAAACAATTCAATTTCGCTACACTTTACACGTAACCAACTACACGGAAATATATACAACAGGTATAAATCTTATTTCATAGCTGATAGAGTTCAATTTGCAATATTCCAATGCTTTATGTAACTTGGTTGTGTTCTTAAACCGGACAAAGTTAAGTGCGCTATAAACTTGAATCTTATGTCTATGTGGTAAGGTTGATAATTGCTTGTGATAAGTGAGAGTTGTGGCGCGGTGGGCAGATTAAACGAAATGTCTGGTTTGGCTGCGCGCGCGCCGCTACGTGTGTGGTCTGCTTGCGCATCGTTAGCCAGTATGCTCTACTTCAATATTTACTAAAGTTAAATGCTATTGGTTACTGAGCTCTTTGTATATTTTTCGTCTTTAATCGTATGATTATTAGTAACTATCTAAAACACTGTAACTTTATATTTTTTTTTAAATCATCCTTTATCATTAAAAATCAATCGATGGGGTATATAATGTTTTTTTTTATTTTTAATTAACTAAATACTACTAATGTAATCGTTTTTTGTAGAGGAAGTAGATTTGGAACAGTTTATCACAAGTTAAAAGTTTTCATAAATCATCGCTAGATGGCGTTATTAATTTTTATACCGATTGTAATGAGACGTAGCATATTATAAGCAATATTTTTATGACATTTAAACTATGTATGTTTATATATTTACAGAAGGATTGCAAGCAAACAGTTTGTTTACATATTAAGTCATTAATGATAAAAGCTTAAAAATTACGAAGTTTAAGTAAGCAGGGGTCTAGTTCTGAATCAATGAAGCATCGGTGATGTAAAGAAGTTTATTATCTTTCTAGCTGTCGCCTGCGACACAGTCCGTGAGGCATTAAAAATAATAGATATATAGATAAGTAGACTATGTTCTATATGTGTGTTAAATATCTTCCAAACAAACATCCATCCATCCAAACATTCGCATTTATAATATTAGTATGATGATAAATTAAATTTGTGAGTAGAGCAACCTTACAACACATATATGGCAACCAGTTTGGTCTCCCCGGTGACCGCAACCGCAGCATCCTCCGAGCGGTTAACTTGTTATAATTATTGACCGACTGTGTTTTATGCGACTTAATGCGGATAAGCTATAAATTTGCATATCAATATCATCGATTCATGTAAAACTTACCACTTTACTTAAAGTATTGTGGACTAGCTGTCGCCCGCGACTCCGTCTGCGCGGAATTAAAAACAAACATAATGACTAGCCTATGTGTTCTAGGGCGTTGCATCATACAAACTTTAACATACCATTTTGGACCCTTAGGGGATGAATTTCGTAAAAACAAAACATAGTAAACTGATATAAAAAACGGCCAAACACGTATATTCGTCCGGTGGCGGCGCTGACTAGTTTCGAGCCCATCGGGGGCCCTTCATCAGGATGAGTGGTACTGGTATTATTTCGCGGACGCGCCCTGTAGCTCACTCATCTTTTATATATATCAGTTTAGTATAATGTCTCTCGAAAGTTTGAACAGCCTACATAGTAACATAAACCTCTATGCAAAATTTTAAATCTAGATATCTTGGCTGTGCGATAGTTGAGTCAGTCAGTTTACTCTTTTATATATAGATTACTGTTATGACAACTGCACGAGGATATAAGGCACATAACATATAAGAGGTGTCGGATATCGACTCTCAATATCGTTGTGTGTTACGACCTTTATGCGAAATGTCAGGGCGTTCACACCTTTTTTGATTTTCACAAATGATCTCCGCCTTGGCATTTATTAAAAGACTGTCACTGACTAGCTGTCATAAACTTTGTCATGTAAATAAAATTTGTAGAAATACATAGAAAGTAATCTGTTTTACTTTCTTTTGTTAACAGATGGCGTAGAACTACAAATTCAAGATGGCAGCGGTGTCGACAACCGTACACCTGCAGGATACCAGAATAAAGATTCAGGATCAAAGCGATGAAGACCATGAGCCATATTCACCAAATACAAGAGACACAATCAGTCCCGAATACAATGAAGAAGATAAATTCGAAGATAGAACGATACATACATCCTCTTTCTCCATACACAACGTTCTAAAGAAAGAACGAGACACAAATAGTCCAGAGAATGTCTTTTCAACAGATAAACTATTGCAGAATACACCAAATTTCGATGATGGTCAAAATTCTAGGACGTCGGAAAGCGTCAGTCCGAGGCTTGAAGATGATGATACGATTGGAAATGAATACAGAGGTGAAATAAGTGTGGATGATGAAAATTCTTGCTGCAGCGATGACACTGTCTTATCCGTTGGTAACGAGGCTCCAGTATCCAGTTACCATGACAACGAGAAAAGCAGTCCGGACACCTCCCAAGGTTTATCCTCCTTTAAACACATACAGACACATCTGAACGCGATCTCACAACTTAGTCAGAACCTAAATGTAAACCAACCTTTACTCCTCCGACCAAGCCCGATCACCCCAAACCCTCTAATGTTCCTAAACCAGCCGTTGCTGTTTCAAAATCCATTAAACCAAGTGGATTTAAAATCTGGGGTGATACCAAATAGAATGCCAATGCCACAAAACAATTTAAATCTTAATACGCAGCATTTTGGTTTAAATTTCGGTTTAAGAATGAAAAACCAAACAATGGAAACGCGTCATCGAAGCGATGAGAACAGACGTGTTAATTATAGTACACCGAAATCACCAGACAATGAATCTGGAAGGGATTTCATAAATCAAAATTGTTTAAAATTTAGTATAGACAATATTTTGAAGGCTGATTTCGGTAGACGAATAACTGATCCGTTGACGAAAAGAAAGTCTTTAAAGTCGAGGTCGTTTGAGGCTAAAGTACCTGTAAAAGAGGCTCCATTGCCCTCTAAACCGGAAGTGCTTGAGGCTAGAGTACCGGAGATAAAACCTATTGATAAAGGGGCAATTGATCTTTCGAAAAGCGACGACGGTTCCAGCAACCAGAGTAGTACTACAAGTAAGTTGGTATATTCAACAATGTTTAAAATTAGAATGGTAGAGCGAGCATGGTTCAGTGGGTTAGGCACTTGAATTGCAATCTGCAGGGCCTGGGTTCGAATCCCGTCATGTACCAATGTGTTTTCCGATTTACAAATGTACATTTATCCGACGTTCTTACGGTGAAGGAAAATATCGTGATGCAACCTGCACATATATGAGAACAAATTTAAAGATATGTATGATGTCAACCAACCTGCACTGGGCCAGCGTGGTTGACTAAGGCCTAGTCCCCTTTGATTTAGGGTAGGCTCTGAGCTCTTAAAGAAAATAATAAAACTAAAGCAAAATTTCAACCAAAAGAGCAGGTCTTAAAAATAGTCTTAAAGTTCTTTTACAGCTTTTATAGTTTCTCAATATAATCGTAGCCCCTTTACATTTATTTAAAGACAGATCTAATTCTAGTATCCTATGACTATCATTAATTACCATTGTCTATGTTGTAGGTACAACGACCGGTGAGAACGGGCCAATGGTGTGGCCGGCATGGGTGTACTGCACACGTTACAGCGATCGGCCTAGTTCGGGTGAGTTTTACTACAATAATATACAGGGTTATGTATATTGTTTCGCTCGTGATCGCTCCCAGAGATCATTAGTAATATAAAGGGTTTGCTGGGGGGAGGAGGTTCTTTGATGAGCTGGGTAAGCTGGAGTGACCCATGTTCTGACAACGCAAAATATGTTTTCGCACGTTTTACCATCGGCACGATTTGCAGAAACCGTAGCTACGAAACTACGGTTTCTCGGCATAGCAAGGGTTATGACTACAATAGTTATCAATGCCTTATTAAGCACTACCAGTGCCCTTGACGAGATCTCTATGTACCCCCTACTTTTACTATGGCTTGGCCTCCAAAGGTAAAGGGCAAGTAAACTGTTGCAAGAGACTGGCAGTTCTTTTTTGTCCATCGCCCTGGGCGGTCATCGTACCGAGTCCAACGCTAACACCGGTATTGATAATTAAATAAATTGTTATTTACTTAGTTTGAATGTCATTAATAATGAATAAAACTAGGGTAATTAGTTACTATAGATTGACGTTTGAAATGGTTCAGTTATCGTTGTTGTTGCGGTTAAAAATACTACCAAAATAAATTGACAATTGTTGAGGTTATGTGACATTTATTGTTAGCTATTGCCAACATGACGGTATGTGTCCGTGTCCAGTTGGCAGCATTGCACGTTATCGAGCCTTCATCAAGATTACCTATTCTGCCTACTTGCATTTTTGTGTCATAAGTTTGGTAAGATATTGTAGCGATGTTTCTTTTGTTTACATAAATATAAATTTTTTATTTAAAATTTAAGCCATTTTTTAACGCTAAGTAAAAATGGTGTTAAATTCTAATCTCCACATTTAAGTTGTAATCTTTAAAACCATTTTGGCTAATCGCTAGACGTTCTAACATATAAAAAGCTTTATTACAAGATTATAAACCGCAAAACAGCTTGCGAGGTACTTAGGCAACCCTGTAGTAAGGGCGTGTAATGAAGTGAAAGGGCAAATAATTTGATAACTCCCCCCTTGGGGATGTTCCGACGGATAACAGAGGCGGAACCCTTGGTTTATTTATTAACGCAAACAGGGAAGATTTACACTTGTTTCATTGTTTTATGATCTACTAGCTGACGCCCGTGACTCCGTCCGCGCGGTATTAAAAAATCAATATAGTAGTAGCCTATGTGTTCTTTCAGACTATGTTCTACATCTATGCCAAATTTTAGCGAGATGCGTTGAGCTGTTCTGGAGATACCTTCAAACAAATATCCATCCATCTAAACATTTACATTTATAATATTAGTAAGATAGCGTATATAAGACCATAGATTATTTTTTTTTATTTTATAAATGTTGTTTGTTGTCAAAGATAAAAAGTTTGTACAATCATACAATGAGTGTGCGACGGCGCGGCGCGATGCGGGGGAGTCGAAAAGTAATTGAATTAGAAATCATTAGGCATGAAAAGTAATGTAGCTACCTACTTCATAAATATTTATCAGCGACCCTCAGAGGGACGATATAAAAATTGCTCTCTAGTGATGTGCCACGTTTGTCGATAGTTCTATGTTTGTTTTTGATTCTTATTAGAATTTTTTGGCAATGTTTTTACGATAAAAACGCATATACGACTTGGAAAATACATTTCTATACTGTCGCCATGTAGCGTTTCTGGATATATCTTCAAACAAACATCCATCCATCTAAACATTCGCATTTATAATATAAGTAAGATAAGATTATTTTTTGACCGTTGATATGCAATATTTACTAATATTATAAATATAGTTTGGATGGATATTTGTGACTACATAGCTCTATAACATATGAAACGATCTTAATGATATTTGTAGTTACAATCAAGAATAACATATAGGATAGATTTTTTTCTCGTAAAATCACTCAGCGATGAATTAAACACTGTGTTTTTTTTTAATTTTCACACCTAGTCGTGAGCAACAGCCAGTGTTATACAAATTTATATTATAATTAAAAACACTGTTGCTAAGTTATAAATTATTTGACATTGGTTACGCGTCTCGATACCGTACCGTTTGATAGAATCGAATCAGTTGATATTTTCATAGTAATCGAGAGGCTATTCGTTTGATATGAATTAAATAATTGACATTTATTATTACAACGTTTAGAAACCTGACAGTATGTTACTGGCCATTATGAAATAGAATTTAAAAATGGAACACCATTATATTGTTATCTCATTTGTTTAAAAGAAGAATGAAAGAGACGAGTATATGTTCAAGTATGGCGATAAAAACACTCTTTGTATGTTACTAATATTATAAATGATAAAGTTTAGATGAATGTATGTTTGTTTAAAGGTATCTCTGGATATATTCAGTGTGGAAGAACAGATGAGTTACTAATTTTTTAATTCCGCGCGGACGGAGTCACGGGCGATAGTTAGTCATTTCCAAACAATGAAATATGAATAACGCGGTAACAAAGCGCTTTTTATGTACACTTCATTACACAAGTGCTTTAATTATTTAACATAAAAACAGCAATACGCTTTCACAAACAAGCCGTTGCATAGACAATTTTATTGACACCTAACAGCTGTAATACTATATTTGTAGTAGAAGCATAACTGCCAAATGATAATTTTACATCCGAGAATAAGGAGGAAAACATATAGAAAACTGGCTGTTGGAAGTTTATTGCTAACTCCAATACCATTAACTGTGGGTTTTTAAAACCGAAATCTTCGTTTAAAAAATGTTGTTTATGTTTTACAATTTAGGTTTTAGAAACCTACGGTAAATTGAAGATATGGTTGATGAAAACTAAATAAAGATGGCGTAGGAATGATCTTACTCTTAGGTTTTGTCTTCCGTATTCTTTGGTAATAATATAAGTAATTGGCTAACTATAGATAGCTCCATCTAACGATTGAAGAAGAATGAAGGAAATCTCTTTGTTGCGCTATAATTATACTAACCGTAGGTTTCTGAGACCAAAAGTCTGTATATAACATAACTATGATAAAACACATGTGGAGATTTAAACGGAGTTTTTGGGTCTCAGGAAACCACGGTTAATGTTCGGAATTGTAAAATAATGTGGTCTTTAAATCATGTTTATCTGACACACCGTTTAGTTATTCGGCATCGTACAGTCAGAAAAACAAGATAATTAAGGAAGGCATCGGAGCGGCAACTTTTGTATCACATTGCAAATGTATTCAATGAACTTTCATAGTATAATGTACATAACTTTTGTAACATGGGAAATAATTGAAGTAAATACTAATCTTACCATATTTTGAAAGTTAAAAAAAGTTCTAATTTTAAGCACTTTTTTTGTCGACTGTACAATTTGTAAAAAACTAAAAACTTTCTATTATTTATTAAAATCTTAAATTAGAATTAAAAGGACGTAATTTTTTTTAAACACTTTTCTTTATACCTGTACATGTTAGTAAATTGGATTATGAATTGTTTACATCATATTACATTTGCATAGTAAAATATGTTGGTCTTCAACATTAATGCGTTCCGTTTTAGACAATGACTAATTACTCTTGCAAAGCTTACGTGTTGTAAAGATAAAATAGGATAGCTTCATTATAAGACTAGATGTCGACCTCGACTACGTCCGCACGGAATTAAAATAACTAAATGAGTAGCCTATGTGTTCTACAAGACTATGTTCTACATCTATGCCAAATTTCATCAAGATCCGTTAAGCCGTTCCGGAGATATCTTCAAACAAACATCTATCGAAACATTCGCATTTATAATATTAGTAAGATAAGATGTGTTTGTTATTTAAATTAATATAAATAAATCATAAATATATTAAAATGTAATTCTATTTAATTGAATAATTAATAAAACTTTATTTTAATTAAGAGATATTTTTTTTGTGTGGTATTAAATATAAACTTTATCTTATACGTTTGGGTCTTAATCGATTTTGTTATTTTATTATTTAATGATAGACGAGACAACGATTTGCATCAAATGCTAGGGTTGTCACTAAGTGTGTTTCGATAGGTCCATCGGCCCAATGGGAAACAATCAATTTGTAGGTTAATAATAAATTTTGATTTTATGTTACGATTTGCATGAAAATAGAGTTGTCACTACGTGAAAAAAAGGGTTGTCACTACGTGTATCGATAGGTCCATCGGCCCAATGGGAAACTATCACTTTTGTAAGTTAAGAATATTTTTTTTAATTTAGGATATCTGTTTTCATTAGCTTTGTTAAAATACGATATTATATACCAAAAATAGAAACTACTTATGAATTACAATATGATTAAATAAAATAATATATAGTCCAAACATTATTAAGCCTCGGAATATCATAAACGGTGTATTATAGTATACAAATTCGTATGTATCGGAACATTTTTTTCGCGGCAATGTTCTAACCTAGCAATCGCAAAGCAGTCATAAAGTTTGAATCATATTATACTTAAAATATTTAAATGTGAGACAAAAGATTTACTTTTAATTTGATATTGTTAGTAAGATTTTTATTCTATTTATTGGTAACCCTAAGTGCAGCTATTACAAAATATAAAATTGATAGTGAGCGCTGAAAGTAATAGAATTATTATCCGCAATAATTACGCGTAATGGCCGCCTTTGAGGTCGCCGCCGTGTGGCGGAAACATGACTTCATTAACATAATTAAGGGCGCTTACACACGAGTAAATTAATGCAAAAAAAAATGCGAAGTATCTATATAATAATGTATTAATTGTTGAAGGAAAACATCGTGATGCAACCTGCACATATCTGCGATGCAAAGATATGTGTGAAGTCAACCTGACTAGGCCAGCGTGGTTGACTATCACCTAGTCACGTATTTAGGGTAGGCTCCGAGACCCTCAGTAGGAACGTATAGTGAACTGATGAAGATAATGATTAAATTTAAAGTGTTTTTTCGTCGTGTCTTTTAGGACCTTAATTCGTTGACTATTTTTTATTACGACAAAGTCTCCTTGTACCCTAAAGAAAAGTCAACTAATAAATAACCTGTCATGTAAAAT